GGCGTGAAAAAAAAAAATGGACATTTTTAAAGTGCTTGATATGGGGTTGGATTAAGTGAATTTAGTGAATCCACAGTTTTTTCACACCTATGTGAGAAGTCCAGACTTTGACGTCATTTCTTTGATTTTTATTTTTCATGTTAGTGAAAAAAATTAAATAAATAAGTGAACCAGTTTTGTTCCTTTTATCTTATCATATGCCTAGCTTTAATACGGATATAAAATCGTTACTTTTCATAAATTATAAAATAGATAAATAAACTGAAATAATTCCAGTACTTTAAGGATTTTTCTGGAAATATTGAATGAAAATTTAACAGAAAATTGAAAATTAATGTATATTTTTAAGGTCAGAAACTTTATTTAAAGCTCCCCCCCCCAAAAAAATGGATATTCTTTTTAATTTACAAGTTTTTCTGGTACTAAAACAATGCAATGTTTTATTTATTTATTTATTTTTTTACATAGTTGAAGTTTTATTAAGCAAAATAGAGTAAGAATTTCAAACTATGATAACATTATTTCAGTTTTTAAAAAGGAAATTTATTTTATTAGACTTTTAATTCTTAGTCTACTACTTTGCTAATAATAACTTCAAGTACGTAAAACAAAATAATTTAAAATGTCATTTCATTTTTTTTTTTACATTGTTAAAAGAAAAACAAATCGTGTTTCTGTTAACGTGGCATTTAATTTATGACTCCTCACTTGTTAGAATTGAAATACATATTTTTTAAAAAAACTGCAAAATTATGAATTAAAAGTACAATGTGTTTTTGTTTTTTTTGTTTTTTAAATAAAACAGATGGTATATACACAAAAACAAGTTATCTTACTTTTAATATCGTAAGTTTTTTAATTTTTCCCGATTTAGAAAAAAAGAGATTCTGAGAAATAGAGAAAAATATTAAAAATTGATGGGCGTATGAATAATTTCGTCGTTGACTATATATATATATATATATATATATATATATATATATTACATGAATCATTCATACAAAAAACAGATTAGTGAAGTTAACGATATAAATGGAGAGAATATATCTTCGCAAACAAATTTATTAAAATTACATTAACCCACGAACCTCTATATGAATGTTGTGATCCCTGTTTTAATAAATTCAACGTGTATAAGGTCTTTTTTGCAAGTACTTTCATCGGTTCATACAGACATCATCAGGCATGGAAATTTTTTTTTTTAAATACATCCAGGTAACACGAAAGATTAGATGTGAATCGAAATATGTTTTTTTAGAAATGTGTTATTGTTAACTGTAAGAAATTCTGGAGCGTGTGGTCGCAACTCTAAGGTTGAATTTTTTGAAAATTTAAAAGAGAGTGCGTTTTTTTTTATTAATATGGTAATTGGAGAATTCTTTTGTTGTAGTAGTTTTTGCAGTCGATGTGGCATGAACTTAATTGTTCAATAAATAGAGCAATGTCACAGCTATTATCCCAGAAGTTGCACGTCGGATCAGTTCTTTTTAAATCAAATATGTGGTGCAGTTCAATTTATATTACATTCTTACAGAAAACAGATTAGTGAAGTTAATGATATAAATGGCGAGAATATAATAGACGCTCCTATCCTGAACGATAAATGTGGACCAACAGTGGATGGTGGCATTCGTTTTACACTTATGCATACTGGCAGGGGTTATTGTGGAGAAAATCAGGTAAGGGATAGACATATTTTATTTGTGCTTTCTTAGGTGCGATACTAGCCCAGTCTTACTGCGAGTGACAAAGCTACACTAACAGATTGAATTTGTTAAAGCAGGATTTTGATGGCGTCTCTGCTTCAGAGTTTGACGAAGCTGATAAAGGTGCTTCAGTCTACTGTCTTCAAAATCCTGTAACAAAAAAAAACATGTCTTACGCCACTCGTTTCAGTTTGATGCTAGTATTGCAGTATTGCACTATTGCACTATTCTTGACTCTGTCATCCCATTTTATATCACATATGGCACGAAGACAGCGCATGTGAAAGGCGTCTTTCAATTTGTCCTTGTAGCGTAAGAGTGGACGTCCAACTGAACAGTATTTAGTCACCACCACCCCACGTTGGCATTATGTGGCACGAGGCCGGTTTAATGTAGTATCTCCAAGCCCGTGGGCTCGGCCAAAAATATGCCCTTTGAACCCGTATAAACGGGTTCAGGGTCGGTTTACCTCCCGGAAAGAGAATCCACCCTTCGGCGTAGCGTCGTTCCTCCCCGCCCGAAGGCAGAGAGTTCAACCGATCAGCTTGTCAGCCGGTCGTCCGACTCCAGACTGAACTCTTGGAAAAGCTTGGAGTTTGGTATTTGTCCATACGGCACCTTTTTTGAAAGCCTATGTACATCCATTCTCACAGCATGACCAACCCACCAAAGTTGTATCATTGCTAGAATGGTTCCAATGCCTATTTCTTCAGTATTGCACTATTCTTGACCCTGTCATCCCATTTTATATCACATATGGCACGAAGACAGCGCATGTGAAAGGCGTCTAATTGATAACGTAAGCACACGTTATAGGGTCTAAGTTTCAGCAACATAGATAAGGGCTTAGAGAACAACTTATCTGTATATGCCGATCTTTACTCTGAGAGACACGTCTTTGGTGTTCCATAACCTATTTTTAAACGAATACTATGCTGTCTTTGGCTATTCTAGATTGGATTTCTCTGTCCATTTTTCCATCAGAAGAGACTGTTGATCCAAGATATGTGAACACCTCAACAGCTTTTAATGCCGTACCATCAATGAATACAGAAAGATTTTTGATAGATGGATTGCCTTGTACTGACTAGTACATTAACTCAGTCTTCTTTGTTGATACTGAGTCCAAATGCTTTCGCTGTTTCAAAGAATTTATCAAGTATAATTTGAATGTCTTCTAGATTGTCTGTCAATAGAGCGGCATTATCGACAAAGAGAAGATCGTGTACCAGCGGCAGATCAAGTTTCGATTGTGCTTTAAAACTTGCTGATTGTACAAACCTCCACTTGTTCTGAATTCAACAATTTCACTTAAGCCAGAGAATACTTTTTCAAGCATAGCAGAAAAAATAAGTGCAAAGAAGAGAAAAAACGCAAACTTGCTTTATATGTTGGAGACGAAAAAGGCGTCCGATTGCTTACTTCCCGACCTTACTAAAGCTTTCATTCCTACATGAAAGATTATAATATGGAGAAATTTTACATATACATACATACATAATATATATATATATATATATATATATATATATATATATATATATATATATATATATATATATATATATGTGTGTGTGGTGTGTGTGTGTCTTATAATATATATATATATATATATTTTAAATATATATTTAAATAAAACAAACCATATTTAAGGTTCCAAAAATATAAATTATTTCACCACAGCCCTTTTAAAAGGACAGCGGATCATCAGACTTTTTTCAAACAAAAAATGTTTTGAAAATTTACACATTTTTGACGGGCCGTATTAATCATGTAAAGTCTGATGATCCGCAGTCCTTTTAAAAGGGCTGTGGTGAAATAATTTATTACATGGAACCTTAAAGTGGTCTGTTTTATTTTAAATTATTTGCTCTGGATTTACATTGAGCTCTCTGGATTTTATCCTCCTTAGGTTTACCCATACGGATTACCTCGTTTTTTTAAAACTATATATATATATATATATATATATATATATATATATATATAAATATATACAGGTTTATGGGCATTGTAATATTGTATTCCTTCTGGTGAGGAGCGGTAAACTTTAGGGCCATATAAAATTTTTTGACAAAATCCAATATTACCAGGAAAAAAAAAGTTGTCGGCATTAAATAACCCATTGAGGTTGATATGCCGTAAAACAAAACAAGCCAAAACAAAACTCTGACTGATAACATTTAGGTCGAGTTTCGATCCCGGCTCGAAGCAATCGGACATCTAGACACACTGACGAGCTGTGATACAGCGAAACAGGCGTGTATGTGGATGACTATTTATGCTCACGTTAGCCGATTGAGCACTGTAGAGAAAAGGGTAATTAAAAAAAAAAGTGGCTGGTACTGCTATTAACGCATCGAATTGAGCGCTCTTGGCTACTGGCATTTGTATACATCTCGTATATAATACGTTAAATATTTCCCTTTCTATGCCATCCGCTGATGGCTTAGGGGTAGAATTTCTAACTGATGCCAGATCAATCGAGTTTCGAGCCCGGCTTCAAGCAATCGAACTTCTAGCCACACTGATGAGTTGTGATACAAGCTGTATATATATATATATATATATATATATATATAGTTAAATATAACAGACAACGAATGTGTATTATGTTTATTATAATCATGCATAATCATACATAATAGACATTCATTGTCTGTTATAATTAACAATATATGTTTAAATAATTATCTGCTGTCCTAATATATATATATATATATATATATATATATATATATATATATATATATATATTTATTATATAGGATATTATATTCAATCATGAAAATTAAGATTGAACAGTAAATGCAAATTTATTTCGTTGTGTATTTACACATCTCATCAGGCGTTAAAAGAATTAGATCTAAAGAATAAAATCTAAGTTTACTAACGCATGATGAGATGTGTTGATACACATTGAAACATGATTGCATGTATGTAGCGTTATTTTTTAGATGTTTGAATGTAATATCCTATAATAAAGAATATTGCTCTATTATTGATTGAAATTGAATTTATCTTTTAAATTATTGTTACGAACGTTGGAATTTATATTCGATACGTTCCCATCTCATATATATATATATATATATATATATATATAAGAAATGATGTATGACAAATTAGAGAAAAGGTTTTATGACAGGTGTCATCCGTTAGGATATATATATATTTTGCTTAAACGTTATTTTTAGTGGATACCTCTATTTCAGTAGACTTATTAAACAGTATATTTATTTATTTTCACGTAGACATGAATATTCGTAAAATATGCGTTAACACGCGATTCCAACGTCCATATAAGGTTGGGACACATGTTCCCGCACGATCACCGAAGTTAAGCAACATCGAGCCTGGTCAGTATCTCGATGGGTGACCACTTGGGAATAACTGGTGCTGTAAGTTTCGATATGTGGGGAATGTAATAGATAATGGATCGGAATTGTTATTCTGAGAACGGAGTTCAATTCCAGATGTGTTCGTTATATTCACCTACGCGCAAATACCTTTGGAAAAGGGATGGATCTACTTCTCTCCCCAAGCTATGAGTTAATTAGTATGACATGCATCACTAAATCATTATTATCTCCAAAAAATTAAAAAAGAAAAGATTCTCATACTCTAAAAATATTTCCTGGCTTTAAATAACCTGCAAAAGGTTGATAACCCGTAGGAAACGAATTAATCAATCAATTTAATACTGATTAGGTACACTTCCATATCGTTAAGATTTATTTACATTCTCTGGAATATAAACGTATAGAAACTACTGTGGCTACAAAGTGAGAGATCAGTTTATATATTGTTTATAATATAGAATTGATCCCTCTCTATATATACACATTATAATTTTTTGTTTATCAAATTCTGATTAAGTATGAATCCATGTTACTTAGTTAGACTTGTATGTCTTAATAATCATTATCTAAAAAAAAATTCTTATAATGTAAAATTATTATCTGTCTTTATATAATCGGCAGTGGGTTGATAATCCGTAAAAATGGATCAAAGCATTCTAACGAAGCCGTTTTTCGGGCTTCTTCAGTTGTATTGAAATATTTAAGGTATTTTTTTAGTTAACCCACCTGTTATAATTCCTTATTTCGCAACGGAATTAGTTGAAAAGAAAATTATGTAGTTGCATATTCTTTTAGAATATTTTCTTACAAATGTACGTTTCAGGATAATGTATTTTCCTCAAAATTGTATTGTATAGGTGGTAATATTATTTTAAAAAATGTATTGCTGGTAATTTTTTTTCAAAAATATATGGCAAGTAATATTCTCTTTCTTCTTTTTTCAAAAATATATTGCAGGTAATAGTTTTTTTTTCTTCAAAAATTTATTTCTGGTAATAATTCTTTTACAAAGTATTTCTGGTATTAAAAACTGTTTTTACACTTTCATAATGCTTTTTGCCTCAGTTTCGGGGTTGACTATTTGCCCATAGTTGGGACCCTAACAGGTGCTACCAACCCGGGTCAGGGTGGACCTGGGAACACCAGCAATTAAGAGGTGTTTCCAGGCTCCTCAAACCGCCTGATCAGAGGCCTTGCTGTTGGGCGTAGTTTATCGTCTTACCCTGGACGCGGATGTAGTTTATCGTCATACCCAGGCTGGTCATCAGTCAGAGATTCTAAATCTTATCTGTCGATAGAGAAAAGAAAGTGAGAGAGAAAGCGATATAGGTATGATATGATATCAAAAAATTATATATACGAACATATATTTTTGCACGTATATATATATATATATATATATATATATATATATATATATATATATATATATAATCATATATATATTCTCAATTATATATAAGGGAGATATTAATAATATATTAAAAATCTACTTCATATCCTAGGTTGTTGATTACAAAAAGGGTTATCTCCTCTTGATGCGTAGGGCGTCTACGTAAATTCAATTTTTTTTAAATTATTCAAAATATATATTTTTTTAATTTTTCGTCTTCCGAACTTAAGAATTTGACAGATATAAATTATAAATAATTAATTGAAATATTATAGACACCAATAATAAAATGAACAAATCTTAACACACAATTTTAAATTAACACCACGAAAACGCGATTTTCCTAACACTTAACACTTAGTTAGTGAGTATTCTGTATATTCACTAATATATATATTCCCTGACGATCCGCTAAGGTGAAACCGTGGCTCTCTAGGTTTAACTATATATATATATATATATATATATTTAGTTAATAATTTTTTTATACTAGGTTTCATCTAAACGGATTGTTCATCTTTTGGCTTTAAAGCCAAACTTTCCCTGACGATCCGTTTAGATGAAACCTAGGTAGGTTTGTCTGGCTCACTAGGTGTATCTAGGTCTGCTCTACGGTTGTATTGAGCTCTTTTGTTAGTTAGTTGTTACTCGTATCGGGTTTTTTTCTTTGGGCTTCAGACCTGCATCTGTGCGATTTTTTGTCGGCAGAAGTTCATGTTTGTAGCTCTTTCTTTTTTTAAAACCTTTTTTTCCCTCGAGATTGATTTGATTAGCAAATCAAAAATTCGAGGGTTTTTCGAAACGAGTCTAGTTATCTATATTTATATGTATATAAATATATATATATATATATATATATATATATATATATATATATATATACATACTCTGTGCGTATCCAAATGTAAACAACCGGCGTCACACATTATGAAATGGACAAAGTCCGACAATTATTTTAAGATATTTTATATGTTTATACGTTCTTTTTATAGATCCAAATATTTAAGTAAATGCTCTGTTTATAATAAACAGTATTAACAACATTTATCGGCTTGAATGTCCGAAAACTTTTCCTCTGTGGCTCAATCGGTAAAGGCACGTCAGGCTATATGACGGTTCCGGATAGGATACAGGTTCGAATCCTGTCGGAGGACATATTTTCTATGAAAATTTCTCGTCCTGAGGAGACACAGCACATAAAGAAAAAGAATGTGAAGAATTTGAAGAATTCCTGCCAATAGATAATGGGTTGTACTCTTTAGAATGATGCATTGTCAAAGAAAAGTAGTTGTCTTGGCATTGATTTCGACAGCTGTTTTTTGCCTTCATGTCAAGACATTCCCACATTTTGGAAATAAGAAACACCACTCTATAATAAAACTGTGAATGAGACCATCGCAAAATATCTAATAATGGCTGGCAGCTGCTTTTCCCCTACACCCGCCGGCAAGGGTGGTGAGATTATTCCTGCACTTCGGTCACACTCACAGAGTAAACCTGTAATCTGTACTGCAACTATAAGCAGACCTTAGTTACAGTTTCTTGGGAGAAATTGCATAATCTTGCGTGAGCAACAGTTTAATGAGGTAAGCACTCTCAACTCCTCGGTCACGATGACTTGTGTCTTTTTTGCTATCACAAACACCAACGGCTTCAGAACAGATTGAAAAGGTATATATTTAGCCTTATATTTACAGGTACAGAACAAACGGAACTCTAAGACAGCCTATAGAGGAATAAGCCACCTCAGACATTCGTGCCTTAGACACACCCATAGTTGCTACAAGTACATATCGTGGCCCAGCGACCCTAATACATTAGGAGACGTTATCCTAACGAATTGCTATCCTTACAGTATATTCTCCTGTAATCACACATAAAATGACACAAGCACAAAAAGAAATCGATCCGACTTTAACAACATGAAAATTCCTATTGACACACACGAACACAGAAAGCTTTTTAACTGCATTAAATGAATATTTGTAAGATTTCATGTGGATAAAGCAACACAACATTAGAAACACGTTTCTACATAAAGGACTCTCAGGCCATATTTGGAAAATGTTTAAACATGTTTCCAGTGTCTTCACACGCTATGTTTGATATTTTAAATAGAATATAATTGAATGAAAATAAAGTTTTCAAAGACTTACAAACTTTTAAATTCTCTGATGCGATGTTATTTCACAGTTCTTCTTATTAATATTTTAAGACCAAAGTATTTCTCTATTGAATTTATAAAATAAATTGAATATGGATAAAAGTTGTCCAGATATTGACTTTATAACAACTTGGGAAATTTGAAAAAAAAAAATAACAAAGAAAGAAAAAGTGGCAAATGGCTTGTCGTTTTTGTTCGCTTGTTGCATCGCCATTTAGAAATTGTCGAGAAACGTGCGCAACAGGTTCTTATTTTACGTCAATGTCACGCATCTCTTGCAGGGGAAACTTCCGGCACGAGAGCAAATGATGACAACGGTCGATCAGCTTTCTTCCCATGTCGCTGATGGGAAATGTTTGGCATGATCAATGAAGCGAGCAACGCAGGTTTTTTTTGGGTTTTTTTTAAAATAGTTTTCTACCTTTTTCGTTTTCGTATGGTTTATTTTGAATTGAAAATTTTTAAAAAATTCTCACACACGCTTACGAGCACGCAAAAAGAAAACGATCAAATTTTGTCTCTCTACGGTAGCTGGAACTTGATGAATATATTTCGTGCATTGATATCAAAGCCCGAAAAAGAATCGAGAAAGGATGAATGCTAAAAATACACCCGCAAAGAAGTATCTACTAATAGGCGTCAGTTTTCCTTTGTTAAAGTTAATATGAATTTCTTCTGATTTCTATAATATCTTTTGCGATCAATACACTTTTTCAAGTTTTAAATTAAATTTAATTTCAATTACATTGAATTGATAATGAAATTAATCTGGGATGAGATACAAGTTTGTATGATTAATTGCAGGATCTAGCCTCGTGGTTAAGAAACCTAGTAAAGACTCTTTGATTCCTTGAAATTTGAGAATTTTGGTTTGGTTTGGTTTGGTTTGTTTTACGGCATATCAGCCTCAATGGATTATTTAATGCTGACAAGATTTTTATTGCTGGTAATATTTTTTTTTCTAAAATTGTATTGTTGGAAATATTTTTTTTTCAAAAATATATTACTGGTAATAATTTTTCAAAAACGTATTGCTGGTGTTAAAAACATATTTTTATACTTTCGTAGAGTCTTCACCCCCTTTGTGGGAGGTTAATTATTTGCCTATGGCTAGGGCCCTGACAGGTGCTAACACACCAGGTCATGGTGAACCTGTGAACATCAGCAGAGTTGGTTCCACGCTCCTCAAAACCTCCAGATCAGAGGCCTTGCTGTCGGATGTAGTTTATTGTCTTACCCAGGATGCGGGTATAGTTTATTGACTTACCCAGGACGCAGATGTAGTTTATCATCTTACCAAAGATGCGGATGTAGTTTTTCGTCATATCCAGGACGGGGATGTAGTTTATCGTCATACCCAGGACGTAGATGTAGTTTATCGTTTTACCCAGGACGCTGATATAGCGTCTTATGAAGGACGCAGATGTAGTTTATCGTCTTATCCAGGACGGGAATGTAGTTTATTGTCTTATCAAGGACGCTATTT